ATTTTGAGCATATCCTACCTTCTTGAAATCTTGGTTCCAAAAAAGAAATAGTGTCCTAAGAATTCTGAGCTTCTGATTGGCTATTCATGTCATATATAGAGGTAAGTGTATATAAAGGAGTGTTTGATTTATTACATGAGCAATATCTTAGCAAATAGAAAAAATAAGACCTTGTTTTATATTCTAGCTCGTCAATATCGGTAATTTGAGTTTCTAATTCGTACGAAACTGTAGACTTAGTATTTTGACATCATAAACATCTAATATGAACCAGTGCTGCATTCAACATACCATGTGACACACAAACATTGATGTTTATCTTTAAATTAAGATATTGAGTAATGTATAATAGTTCTAAAATTTGAATTATAATCTACAGTTTGATACCAAACTTATTGACATAAATTCTTGAAATAGTTGTTCAATAAAATTTTGAATGTGAATCAACAAACGAGATGACAAGGCCTTTCACCTGCGACCCGTCTCGAGCGGGTTAATTGGAAATTTCTTATTCTATAAAGATTTTCATTTCCTGTCTCGGGGATTTATGTCAATAAGTATAATTAGGTTGCATTCTATTGATAATTTTGGTATTTGATGTTGAAAAGATGAATTTGTGACACATTTGTAATCTACACCATCAACTGAGAATGATGCTAAAATGACCCAAAATTTGCTGCATTCCCATCTTGCATGTGACTTATTGGCTGTTTTGGAAGCTTCTTTAATTAAGACCTTATTGCCTATATGACCATGGAACCCCTTCGATGCTTTGTTGGCACTCAGTGATTAACATATTTGGATCAAACAATGGATTTAGAAAGGATTTGTTACATACTGTTGCATCAGAGAGATCACATGACTAGTATCACGCCACCCGTTTTCTAGAAATATCCTGTTCCTTCAAGAATGCCCTAGCATTTACTAGATTGGGGGTAGGCTGGTATATATAAGATGGTCGCAGTGTTGCTTCAGCAAGGTCATGTGACTAGTATCATGCCACCTGCTTTCTAGAAATATCCTGTTCCTTCAAGAATGCCCTAGCATTTACTAGATTGGGGGTAGTCTGGTATATATAAGATGGTCACAACGTGACGGAAACAGAGGTAATGAGTAATTAAATGTATGCGGACAAAATATTGTTGGCCACATGAGACATAGCTTTGTTATAGAGCGACTGTTGAAATTAAGTGTATCGTAAAGTTATATTCAGAAAGAATAAACCAGTTTTATTTAAGAAAGGACTTGTGTCGCTAAAGTTTCGTTGGAACGAAGTTACGGAAAATCAACTAACGAACGGAGACGTAACAATACTTTACTCTTGTATGTAGTCATAATCATCAATAAATGTATCTTGGTCCAAATGGGTGTATGAGGATTTCACCAGAGCTTTGTTGGCTGTGATTGAACAATATATTTGGGCTGACTATGAGGGTAAAATAATCTCATTGATGCTTTATTGGCCCTCATTAATCAACATATTAATACTAATTGTGAGTGTATTAGTGAATTGTCTGTTTGTGTTTATGATTGTTCTACAAGGTTAGTTCATGAATGTTGAGTCATTTTTGGTTCTCTCAATGTTATTTACAATTCAACTCAGTGCCAATGTAGTGGAACATTGCCCTTATTCACCTGGTAAAAAGCCTTGTCTTTTCCCAAGTTCTCTTGTCTTATGTTTCTGAGGAACAGGAATTATAAACTGACTTTATCTTCATAGCACTTTTCATTTTATCACTCAGGTGTTTGTTAATACAGATATTGAGCATATTTCTGTAATACAAGAGGGTGTGGTATTCTAATGTGACTTAATTTTCATGTGTGTATGAGAATTACTTAATAACACAGGTTTGAACAGAAAATGTAGAGTAATTGTAATTGAAAACTTAACTGAGTTTTATACCTCTATCAGAAATTAAGGACACTGGACACTCAGAATATTGTTCCACAGCTTTCCATCTCTGGAGACTGATTTCTGTACATCTATATTCAAGCATGAACTGGGTTCAACTGAGAAAGAATGAATGCTTCAATCATGCAAGAAAACTTGTATCCTTTCTCTTCTGATGGCTTCATGATATTTATGGTTTCCCATCTCAGCATGTACATCCACATTTTGAGATGTCAGAGACATGACATCGATCCTGCAATGGATGTCTCATAGTTTCAGTAACGATAAGGGTACACCATATGCTTGATTTTAACATTCTTTTATTCCTTTACTCAGTGTTCCCATTGCAATGATGTTGCAATCGAAGAACCACCTGACTCTTTTTACTTCTTCCTGGATGTCTACTGACTTAACTGCTTGCATGAATTTCTCTACTTGACAGTTTTGGATAATGGGTATTTTAAATTCAGACATATGTCTACTCTGTAATTACTGTTCTTCTCCATTGAGAGCATTCTTCTACCAGGTAAAGGAAAATGCTTTGCTCTGTTACTCTGGGTACCTGTTTAATCATCATTTAGGACTAGAACTGATAATGTGTCTGATAGTCCAGGTATATTTTCAGAACATGTCCTTTGCTGGAAGTCAATTCTTTTTCATGCACTTGTATGGCAAGTAAGAAGTTATAGAAGAAGCCTATTCCTATAAATATATTATGTTAATTTTGATTATCATTTATTGAAGTATAAATTATATTGAATCTTGTTATAGACTAACCAACATGATTTGTACTTCCAGGAAAAGTTGATTCCTTGGAAGAAAGTTTTCTACATACAAATTGTGATGTAGCATCAGAGAAAAGTGAGGTAATTAAACTTTTTTACAGTTGTGTTATTAAAGAAAATGTGTAGCTGTAATTATGTCTTTCTGGAATTTGTTTGTTTGGCATATAATCAGTAATGACATATTTGTAGTTACGAGCTGAAGAAATTCACTACAAGTTTGCTGCATTGTTGTGAATAAACTACTTAGAGCTCTTGTTACAGTAGTAATATTGCTAGTTCAGAAGTATTGTAGTGCACACCAGAATGTAAACATGTTTTAACAAAATTATATAATTGGTTGAACAATTGCCAAGTTTTATATTTTAACTTAAAGAAGAATGAATTTTTTAGCTAGCTCTTTTCATCAGATAATACAGATTACAACATGCACAGAATTCAAAGAAATTGCATGTGTATTACTTGGAATGTTGAACATGAAATGTTTGTATAAAATTACATCTGTTACATAAAAATTATAAGTCATTAAAAGATAAAACCAATAAAATAAAAAAAAAAATGGTAAAATCTACAAGAAAGATCTACAAACAGATCTGTGGAGTCACTATGGGGGACTAAAACGGTTCCAACCTTTGCCAATCTCTTTATTTCATACACCAAAAATCTTATATTTATGGAATGCATCCATGCCTAAATATGATTTAGAAACTTTTCTGCACTTTGTTTCCTTTTTCCACCTCTCTTTAGAATTTACTTGGGAATATCCAACCCAACACTCCCCTTTCTGGACATTAACATATACATACAAGATGTCCATCTGACCACTAGTATATATTACAAAGAAACACATTCACACATGTACTTACATTAACATATACATACAAGATGACCATCTGACCACAAGTATACATTACAAAGAAACACATTCACAAATGTACTTACATTAACATATACATACAAGATGACCATCTGACCACAAGTATACATTACAAAGAAACACATTCACAAATGTACTTACATTAACATATACATACAAGATGACCATCTGACCACAAGTATACATTACAAAGAAACACATTCACACACGTACTTACATTAACCTATGCATAAAAGATGACCATCTGACCCCTGGTATATATATTACAAAGAAACACATTCATACACAAGCCTATATTTCGAATCTTCCCACTAGTGCAGTATCAAAAAGTCAATTCCTTAAAATTCCTATGACTACATAAACTACATAGTGATGATACTCATTATAAATCTAGATCCAAAGTGAAAACTTGTTTTTCTAAAAGGTTCTACACTGATTCTATCATCCATGATGCAGCCACCTAAGCTAGCTCATAAACCCAGGAGCAAACACTTTACCCTATCAAGAAATAATGAACCGATCATATTCCATATGATAACATACCATCAGACCAACAAGAAGATCAAAGTTAATATACTAAACAATTACACAATACTTGATGAATACCCTACCACTAGATCTCTTTTCAAGGACACACCCATTATTTCTTAATGATATGAGAAAAATTTGAAAGAAATCCTGGTGCAGATTTACAGGAATTACAAGGAATCCCTTCTCATTGGATCTGAGAAGGCTTCAATTGACAGGGATAAAGATGTACCACTTTAAATGGTGGATCTATGTATATTTATATATGAATATTTATTAGGCTGGAATATTCACATGAGTGATTTTTTTTGGTATTTGATTATTTTCTTCACCACTATTATTTTATTGTAACATTTATTACTTTTTGCTTTTTCATTGTTGATAACATAACTGTATAACAGATGATATCTAATAATTCATTGTTGTTATTTTAAATTATACCATCTGTTTTGTTATGTTAAGACTGGATTTAACTGTTCTCTATGTCGTCTACCTCTCGATAAAGATACAAGTTCTCACGTTGAGGAATTGAAGAATTTTCATTGGTTTCTGGTTGTTTGTCTTCATAAAACAATATTGCTAGTCCACAGGTGTTTCCAAATAACTTACTTTCTACTAGTTATGTATGAAAACCTCATCAGCTGTTTATAACAAGAACCTAATATCTTGGATTTTACTTCTGATTACAAAACTTATTCTGTGTTGTATCAGCTATAATATTTACATTATATTAGTATTTTATATTAAATCTATTCATGAGCCCCACCTCATTGTTTCATTCCATGGATGGTGATGCTCTGTTTGTCTGATAGCTGAACTTCTCTTCAGCTTTACAGCAGACGAGTTTCCACTGTGGAAAGCTCCTTTGTAATGCTTTAATGTTCTGTCCTGCATTCCTTCCATAATACATATAGTTTACCAGTACCCATTTCAATAGTAGCCACTGCAGCTCCCACATACCCCATATTTAACATGGTTCATCTGTATCTCGCATCTAAATCATCCTGCAACACGCCCTTCTGTCGCATGCGACTCCCTCTATTTGATTCTACTGACATATCACTTCTCACTTAGCAGTGTTACTGTCAGGATATAAAAGACTGTCTGGTTTAATTATTAGTGATTAATTTATATTTTTCAGTGAATATTTCATTACCTTTAAGTTTGTACTAATGAGAGTTAAAAGCAGATGATTGTAGAAAGTTTTGTTAAAACTAATGGTGTCAAGAATATAGAAAGTGGCCAGACGACTATGTAATAAAGATATAAATAATGTGAGAAGAGCGGGAAGCAACAGACAAACAGTATTAGACAGATAAAAGCGAAGAGAATATAGTTGTGTGAAGTTAAGTAACATAAATGTGATAGGCCTAATGTTTAATATATATATATATATATTAGAGTGAAACTAATATTGTGATAATATTAAAGAAAATAGTTTGGCTTGTCAATTGAGATTCTAAGGTAATTGAATAGGCTTTAGTGGACTTTTGACAAAAAGAGGAGAACTATATCAATACTGATGTAACGTTTACGATATGCTTATATTCTCTGTAGTGTGAATAGCTTATTGTACATATGTTTAACTTGTTCATAATAAATATATATATATATATATATATCATTTGAAAACAAGTAAAGTGTGTGCTGTTTATTCACCATCGAATTTATCGCTAACAAGTCACAGACGCCTACTGTAGAAGAATCCTAAGTCCAACAACTATATAGTATATATTTATACTGTTACGACAGCGGAGGTCACGTGACGCTAGTAGCACGTCATATTCTCGAAGCTTCGTGAAGTCTCGAGAGGTTACTAGATGTATAATATTCTTTTATATGAGACAGCCAAGAAGTGACGGCAACAATGTAATTGAACTGCAGACAGAGAGAGACTGACGATTGAGTCGAGCACATGAGTCGTTCCTTGTGAATTATAGCGTTTGTTATAACGTGACTGTGGAAATTAAGTGTATTGCAAAGTTGTATTGAAAAAGAATAAACTAGTTTTATTTAAGAAAGGATTTGTGTCTCTAAAGTTTCATCGGAATGAATTTATATGGGAAATTAACTAATGACCAGAGACATAACAATACTATTGAGAAATATAAGTAAAAGCTATTTATTTTGACAATTGGTAAAGAAAACCAGAACGCATATACATATACAATATTATTTTTAAATTCTGACAGTTACACTTGTTGTTTGTGCTCTCTTCCTGTTTTTTTCTGTTTGGAATTTCATACAAAATGTTAATATTTATCTATTTCCTTTTTCTACTTCACTTTAACAGTTTTAAGTGATAACTTACCTTTATTATTTTACTTCCTGTGCAATTACATAGGCTTCATGTGGTGGTACTACACTGAGGAATTGTCAGCCTTAATTCCCTTATATGAGTTGACCTATGTTGGGCCTCATCTTTGGGGGTATACACATTTTGACTATGGTCCACAGAGTTTGGACTGATAAGCTGTTATAAATTTTTAATATTTAGGTTGATATTATCATTTGTAGTTATTTGGGTTCAATAGCATAAGTTTATTTAGATTTGTAAATACTTATTGTAAGATCTAGTTTTCTTGGCTGCTTCAGTTTGCTTTGTTCTTTTTTGTTCTGGATCAGTTATTCCTAACCTACACAATTTGTGTGGAATGTTCTTGTTTCTTCTGTCTCCCAACTTTATTTCCAGTCAGATCTGAATGTCCTTTTATGCCTCATACATGCTCTTGGTTGCTTCTTTGCCTTGAAGGCTTCTTTCCATTGATTCCCTGTCACCACTCTTCTGCTTATGACTTTTCCTTCCTTCCTTACCAGTTGAATTCAACGTCAATTCAATTGACTTTTTGTTGTTTGTTTCCTTCTTCCCATATTCAATTCCTGGTGTCTTCACTCTGATTTGTCATCTTATGTTTTACCTGCATCTCAACCCTGTCGTACATTGAGATACTTTTTCTGATGAGCACTGGGACTACACTTCATATGTTCATCTTCCATAATCTTCTTCAGATAGCTGTTTCTTCCTCATTGGGTTACTGTCTTCCACCTGTTGCTATACTTCACTCTTCAGTACAACTGTGACTGGGTAGGTTATATTTTTTGTATAAATACCTCTTATTTTTCAGGGGCATGTCCCTTTTCTTCTTTAAGTATCCATCTCTATGGCAAGTGTTGCTTGTCCAACTATACTTAAACTAGGAAAATCCACAATGTAAGGCTATGAGGACTTAACAATTATAATTTCCATGACCACTAAATGCACACAGTTGAGGTTGAGTGTTCCACAAGATTAGTCATAGGTTTTTCTTCGGGATATCTTTGCTTCATAAATATGCCTGTTCCAGACTATACTAACCCATGAATTTCATGGATCAACAGAAGGGGATAGCTGCCTATCATTGCCATTCTCTAGATTGAATAAATCAGGAGTGGTCTACTTTTCAAAATTGGGATTTTATGACCACCTTTTGCACTGTTGCTGGTGTTGACATTCCTCTGGACTCTCCATTGTGTTTTCTCCCTCCTTTTTCTTTCAGTACCATTTTCTAGTTCCAAGTTGCTGGGGTAGTGGACTGTGGAGGCATCCTCCTGAATGTGATTGATATAAACAATACAAACTATAATGAATAAGATGGTGGGGTTCTGCTGGTGTAGATGACATATCTCCTCCAATCTGATGCTTCATCTCTGAACAGATTTGTCTGAGGGGGTGTCATAGCTTTGGAGTGAGGCAGCAAAATTGCTTTTCACCCCCTCAATTGGGATCCCTTATCCTACCCCCACATCGATGTCGGTTCCCCGTGGCTGGGTTTTGGATACAGAGCTGGACCAATCAACATAAGTCCTCACACATGTCATATAGATGTCTGTTCCCTCACTCAATTGAACTCATGTTCACTGCTACAATGTGGATAATCTGCTGGATACTATGGTATTTTGACATTTTATGTTATTGTTACGACAGCGGAAGTCACGTGACACTAGTAACACGTCATGATATTCTCAAAGGTTCATGAATGCTCGAGTGTTTACTAGATATGCAGTATTCTTGTATATAAGACTGCCAAGAAGTGACGGCAACAAGGGAATTGAATTGCAGACAGAGATAGAGATGGACAATTGAGTCAAGCACGTGAATTGTTCATTGCGAATTATAGCATTTAAATAATAGCATGACTGTGGAAATTAAGTGTATTTCAAAGTTGTATTGGGAAAGAATAAACTAGTTTTATTTAAGAAAGAACTTGTATCACTAAAGTTTCTTTGGAAATAATTTTTATGGAAAATTAACAAATGAACACAGTGGTGTAACCACTTATTGTCAGAGAGTGAGATGGAAAAGAAAAAAAAAATGGAAACGAGAAGTGGCAAATCAAACTACAGCTTAGAAAATTTGATGGCAGCAATACAAGAACAAGAAAAGAAACAAGAAGAGAGACAACAGCAGTTGCAAGAAAATC